GAATACAAGAAATATTTAACAAAGAGTGGCATCAAATACAAATGATGTAACATTTCTGCCAATAAGCAGTTCTACCTTGAGCTGGCAGTCACAGAATATGAAGTGTCGAGTATGTATTCCCATTAAAGCCATACCAGTTGAAGAACAACTTCAATAAGAAGTCAACTATGTTGAACTATTTTAATGAGATGGAGAGCCTCTCCTTGTGTTGGGAAAAAGAATAGCAGAATAATGAGTGATACCATTAAACGTAACCCATGCAATGACACAAGGAGGTTCCAGGTGAATCACATGTTCCAACAAGACTATATATAAGCATCAGTGTATTCAGGCTGACATTCACCCTTTCTTGACCAGCAGACTAAACTCACCAACCCTGACAACATGAGCTTCTACAGCAGCTACTCCAGAGGCCTGGGCTGTGGCTTTGGTGACTTTGGTGGTTATGGCTATGGCTCTGGTTGTGGCCACCACCATAGACTAGGCTGTGGATACGGCTCTCACTGTGGAGACTGTGGATACGGCTCTCACTGTGGAGGCTGTGGATACGGCTCTCACTGTGGAGACTATGGATACGGCTCTCACTGTGGAGGCTGTGGATACGGCTCTCACTGTGGGGGCTGTGGATACAGGTCTCACTGTGGAGACTATGGATACGGCTCTCACTATGGAAGCTTTGGACGTGGATCTGGCTTTGGAAACTCTGGACGTGGAATTCACTCTGGAAGCTATGGATATGGCTGCTGCCGTCGTCCCTCTTGTTATGGTGGATTTGGCTTCTCTAGCTTCCACTAAAATGCTACAATGAGCACTCAACATAGATCATGAAGGGCTACTCAGATCTGACTCCAAAGATAACACTCAACAAAATTGAGCAAGCCAAGATTAAAAGCAATTAAAAGAATCTAACATTTAAAACTTTTAGGATTTTTATTTTATTGCTGTCTTCTTCATGTCACTTGATTTCATATACATTTACTGTTATTATATTTTCACATATATTGTAATAAATTACTTGGTGTGAAGCAATATGCATGATTTATTTTTATTTTTTTTTATTTCAAGGTTTTCAAAGTTATGACCATTGTATCAGTAGGCAATGAGCAAAGTAAACTATCCCAATGATGACAGAAATGTGTATGTTTAAAACAGAGAGAGAGAGAGACTGATACTGATTTGTGTGTGTATGAAAAAGCTTATGGAAATAATTTAGCTATGATAAATTATTTGAAGCTTTTGAGAGTTACATAGAATCCATATAAATCACTTCAACACTAAACAAAATAATATTATTTTAAATTATTTTTAGAAAAAGTTTATTTTATAATGATGTGCATACAAAATTAATAAACATTACATTCCACACACTTATTCACACTTTTTCTCTGTGTTTTTTACAATAAATCCCATACTTTTTGTTTCATAAAATTAATCCCATTGAACTATGCCCACCATTTTTTTATCTTTTCAGGTCCCCACACGACATTGTATAGATAAATTTTCCCTTTGAAATTCAATATTAAACTTAAGTATTTTTGTGCCTTTATGGAGTTATTAAATAACAACTTTTGTGTTTTCCGTAATTATTGAGTGTTTTGCTTATTTTTAATAGATGCAAGTGATTACAGAACAAAATTTCTGTATATGTACATTTTTATCTTTCCATATATACACGTGTGTGTATAGATAGATAGATAGATAGATAGATAGATAGATAGATAGATATAGATAGATATAGATGATACAATATATTGGTATGTGTCATAGACACAGACCCAACTCATAGATGACCCTCCAGCGGGTCTCCAGAGGCAGAAAATCACACAAGAAACACTTGCCCATCATTCACTACAAGTGCAGCTGGTGGACTCTTAACTTCATGACTTTGGCTGACAGTGAAACTCTTTGAGAAGAGGTTACTAGAGCCTCCAGAAGCAGATATACATAGAGATGGTGGCAGAATGGTAAGAAATTACACCGCAATCCTAAAATGCAATTTGAAACCACTAGCTGCTCTATGAGCGAAGGATGAGCAATCTCCTTCCATGTCCCTGAATATCTGCTGAGTTATGGGGTGGTTTCAACTGAACAATAACAAGAACAACAGGTATAGGTACAAGTAGAGATGTAGTTGAGTTAAAAATGAAAATACAAATCCACTCACGTATTCATCTATGTACAATTTTCCTCCCATAACACTTTGCTTGATCTGTCATAATGTAACATTGCCTTGCTCTTCAAATATCATTAGTACACTCCTGGATCTTGCAATTAAGCATGGGATTTGAAAATAGTGTCAGATATTTTTAAAATAAAACCACTCCTATTGAGTTAGGCTCATGACAAACCTCCACTAATTTCTGAGACTGTAAATTGTTAAAAGAAGAGATTTCCTATCTTTTTTTCCCTAGATACAGCTGTTGTTGTTGTTCATTGCCTTCGAGTCGAGAATGACTCATAGAAACTCTATGAACAAAAGGCTTGAAGCCTTTCTATAATTATCATCATTTATCCATGTTCAGAGTGTTCCCAGACGCATGTTGTGGTTTAGGAAGTATATGTCACTCTTGTTTTCAAAGCTATCCTAAACTGGGAGCTCCACCAACCCTGTTGACCAGGGGCAGCTATTATGGCATTTGACTTCCAATGGCAAATGGTTCAGCTTCACAGCAAACCCAGATTACCTCAGTGCAGCAACTTGCCAGAGGAGTGCTGTAGTACCTAGAAGAATCCTCCCCTAAAATGAAGTAACGAAAGCAATAGCAATAAGCCCTTGGCAAAACCAACATTTAAACACAAGGGCCTTCATAGTTTCTAAAGACAGGTGATTTAGGAAGAGCATGGTATTCCTGCTTCTAATAGATGTAGCTAGTGGAATAAAAATATCAGAGAGGGACCATTTTTTTAGCCATGTAACACACTATGGACTACACATTTAAAGCTTCCCTCCTTTTTTCAAGTAAGATAGTCCGTATTAGACAGAACTATCATATGGCCTCTGGAACGAACTTCTTTTGTTGTCATTGAAGAGATTTCATTTACTTATCATTTGGGTGATTACAACTTAGTTATGTTCAAACTATAATGTACAAAGAATAAAACAGCCCTGCTTAGCACTGTTCTCAATATTCTTGATATTATTTAGTCCATTGATAAACCTTCTGAGCCAATTTATTTCAATGAGTATTCCCTCTTTTTTTTTATGGTTCATCTACTTTACCAAGCATATTTTCTAGAGAGACTGGTATACTCTGATACATCCAAGGTACGTATAAAATCTCATTATCCTTCCTTGCTTCTAAGAAGCATTCTAGAAGTATTTCTTGTAATTTACATTTTCTTTTATGTTGTTTTGGATGTTGTAATGAATGTACCATGGACTGCCAGGAAAACAGACAGATTCATCTTGCCAAGCTACTCCTTGGAGGCAAGGATTCTGGGGCTTCGTCTGACATACTTTGGACATGTTGCCAGGAGGGACGGGTCCTTGGAGAGGGACATCAT